TGCGAGAGTGTTTTAAGGAATCAAATATCCTCACCGTTGCTTCTCAATACATTTATGAAAATATCATCTATGCCAGAAGGAATATAGACAGTTTCAAAAGAATTAGTGATTGCACTAATAAAAGCTGACGTAACAATAACAAACTGATTTTACCTAAATGTCGTTTGGCTAAAGTTAGTAATTCGTTTTATGGCAATTGCGTAAGGTTTTACAATAAAATACCAGAGTCTGTTATAAATCTGCCAGAAAAAAGATTTAAATGTCAAATAAAACAGTTCCTTTGCAAAAAAGCTTACTATAAAATTGAAGAATTCGTTAACGATAATAATGTTTTTATAGAAAAACTTTAAATCCATAGCACTGACAATATTATCTGATTACATTAATAATGAGTGCGTAGCGACTTCTATGTTGATTATCGCATGCCTCTTACTTGTTGTACTGTAATTATTTATATAAAAAAAACATCTATTAAAAAGAGCAACACACAAGTTTCTTGCTCATTCTTCTTGTGATGAATCTGCATTCCGAATGAGTGATAGAATCAATATATGACTATTCAAAAGTGCTTGTAATGAGTTTATTTGAATAAAGATTATTTCTATCTCTACATATATGTAACTACATATATAAAAAACGTCCCGAGCTATAAACAACTTGTATTATGGGTACTAGAGAAGTGATAGAAATACTTATTATATACACGTATATATAATGTAACATTGAAGATTTAAGTTCTAGGAGTGATGACGAGCAGAACTTGTTTACATGGAATTGGCACTAATTATGCTTAATTGGTAACGAGTCGCCCCCTCCACAGCGCACCGCGGTAACGGTTCGGGTAGGGTTGCCAACCTTACTTCATAGGGATTGTTAGTCCTATAGACAGATGATCCTATTGCAAGCAATGTACCATGTCAGGTTGAACTCCACGCGGTTCCCCCTGGAAACCATCGTGATACGTTCTTGGTGAATCTGTCACGATGGGCTAACTGACCTGTCCTCATTCTCATCTTATCATCCTCCACTGGTGCTGCCAGCATAAACCGTTAGCGCAGGCGGGTGCTCCACTGCAATATCATCCTTAAGAAACTATACTTTATAACGTATCCTACTTAATTTAGGAAGGTATCCGCAGAATACCAGCGTCGTGGCACCCCGCCATGACATACGCTGAGCTGAGACCTATTCGGTACTATCTAATCCCATCAAAAACATAAATGTGATAATAGCCGAGTTTAATATTATGATATATGCCTTGATTGTTGACTTCTACGACAAAAGAGATGAGATCTAAATGGGTGCCAAGTTCAATGGTCTGTCCTGAAATGTATTTATAACAATATAAAATATTATTCGGTACTATCTAATTGATATAAAACAGTATGTAATTAAAAATTTAAAAATTATTTTCTTTATTGTTATGTACCAAATATACAATTTTCTTTCTTTTTCTTTCTTTATTTTTAGTAATTATACTTTATAATTTCACATACAAATAAAGTATGCCAACCACTTTATTTTCTATACTGTGATGCGTAAAACTAAATACTCATTATGGGTACTTAACGACTCATAATTACTGACCTTCGTCTGCATCACACTTACTTGAGATTTTTCATTATATTTCGCCCAAGTTACATAATATCCTTTTTAATCGAATTGGTTGTTATATATGAACTAGCGGTTCCTGCGACTTCGTCCGCGTGGAATTTAACTTTATTTTTCTCAAATAAAAGTAGCCTAAAGAACTAAGAATTACTTTGTTCATCTTAATTTATTCGTTCCATTAGGTACTGATAGGTTCGAACTAATACATTTACATCCTGCATCATCCCTTATTTTATCCCCATGGGGGTTGAATTTATCAGAATCCTATTTAAGCGAACGTCTTCATCACAGTAGCTCTGATCTTTAATTTCAGTTCAGTCAATCGAAAATACAAGAAGATTTATACAAACTTTCATCCCCTATTTTATTTTATTAGGGGATTCCAACGTCATAGTAGTTTTATGTATGCAAAATAGCCCGATCGGTTTAAAATTGACAATGTTACATACAAACTTTCATCCCCTATTCGGCTGAAATTTGGCAAGCAGGTAGATGTTATGACGTAGGCATCCCCTAAGAAAGGATTTTGATAAATCCACCCCTAAGGGGATAAATTAACGCGAGCGAAGCCGCGAGCAAAAGCTAGTGTACAATAAATTTAAATACAAATTTAGAACACATTTCATAGTAGCCAGTTACAACACTTTTGTCAAAAAAATCTTGGCAACCCTAGTTCCGGGGGAAAACTTTACGCGAATTAATTTGCGAATGGCTCGAGTAGCTAGCAGCATGTGCGCAGGCGCCGCTTTATTACTCCGCTTTATTAGTTCGCTAACTGATTTACACGCTTGAATACTAATACACAAATTGGGAAACTTCTTAAATGGAATTAGAATATGTAACCCCATCCCAGGAATCGCTCGGGCGGAACGGTAGCGGTGCGAGGCTGGCCTTATCTGCACTAATAATATACTTTACTATGACAAATAATAATTATAATCAATATTTAAATGTCTTTTGAAATTTAACTGTAACTGCATTTAGTACTTCAGTTGAGTTTCTTGTCAGTTCTTCTCAATTGAATCAATATACTGAACTACCCGGTAGGGAAAAAATATGAATTACAAAAAACTTAACGTTCATAAGCAACTGAAATGTACTGTTAATTAAATTAAATTCAAATTAAAAAGTATATATTTTTATAATAATAATAACAATAATCTCAGGACATTTCACACAGCGCCATCTAGACCCAAGTTAAGCTAAAGCTTGTGTTATGGGTACTAGATTACTAATACAAATACATAGATAATCTTTTTTCGTAAATACATACATAATACACATAGAAAACACCCAGACCGATACAAACAATCATACTCATGAATACAAATGTTTGTGAGTGCGAGGAATCGAACCCGCGACCATCGGACGTAAAGCGGTGTGCTAGACCACTAGACCACCGCGGTCGTAAAAAAAATAATAATTAGAATTTAATTTAATTTTTCATGTCAATAGAGCTGTTGTGTTACTCATTTTATGTAATTAGATAACTAGGACAGTTCCTCTATTTGTCTATGCCATTCCAAAATGGCAATTTTTCACTAGGACTATTGGCTATTTTTTAATTGGCAATTAAATTTCGGGAATCCACTGAAAAGCATAATGCTGAGATGGGCCCCTTACACACACATCAGTACACAGTGACGCGGTGACGATGCTCCGCAGTGGTGGATAGGAAATGCATTTTACTTTATTATTATTATTTAGTATTGGTTTATTATTATTATTATTCTTTATTTTTTCTCAGCTTTTGCTGGTTTTCTCCACACTTATTATTATTATTATTTATTTGTTTGTTACTATTTTGTTCTTTTTTTATATATATAATGATTTCATATCTAATTTAATGCATTGTTTTTATTTATGTTTATCTTATATAATAATTTATATGCAGCTGTCGGCATCGTTTTTATTGTGTTGTGATGTGTGATGTAATAAATGTTATTCTATTCTATTCTATGATTGCAGCGCGTTGCAATAAAATTGCAGACTTTATAAGATATCATGTGTGATGTAATAAATGTTATTCTATTCTATTCTAAATTTAAACACAAATGTCACGTTTGAAGTCGGTTTTTTTTATATAGTTTAATATAGTTTTAACATAATGTTATATAAAATGTTTTTGATACTGATCTATGACAATGTCTCTGACTGTCCCATCTACTGTTTGAGCTCACGTAGTTATTCCCAATGCTATGAATCACGTAGTGGAGTAACTTGGACCAGTAATGCTCGAGAGTCACATTGCGTTGAGGCATACGGGGCGAGATTAATCTGAGAGACTGCAATATGCTTGTCCGTTAGGATTCTAATATGCCCCGTGAAATGTGGGCATGTCAGATGTTACGCTGGTCGCTTTGACGATAGTTGTATGTACCTCTCAACACCTCGTAGTGGACATTTAGTTTATTTAGGGTTGCCATCTCTAAAATTTGAAAGACCAGGACAAGACGCCTGAAAACCCCGGATTTCAGTGTCAATGGGTTTTTTACACAATCAGTGTAATAAAAAAATAGTTAAAAATATGATAAATCATTTTTTTATTTATGTAGCCTTAAATTTAAATATAGTAACTTTTATCATAATTTTAAATGTACCTAATAAAACTGAATCTTATTACAGTTTGTTACAAATTGTTTTAATAATCAGTTCGATTTTTTTGTTCCTAAAATATAACAGAAATAATTAATATACTTTAATATTAAACCTAAAAAAATTACATCACCCCGGACGCTTCCCGGATGCCCTCTAAACTAGGACAAATCCGGGGAAATCTGGACGGATGGCAACCCTAAGTTTTTTAACTGGAATTGCAAACAAGTGACGACCCAACCGATAGGAAGTGACCGTTACCTATAAACATACGCCCTGATACGTTGTCATTCCTAAGAGGAAGATATCATGCCTAACTTATCCTGCAATTTCATTGTTTAATTTCACTATTCAAACCGAAAGATGGCTTACAAAATTTAAAATTTCTTGGACTAAACCGGTGAGACAGATATAATCAAGCAGATATGTAGTCTTCCTGTGATTAATAGAAGATAAAATCATATTCGAAATGATTATTGCTCTGTTTGGATGCCTTGTATGTGCTTTTTTTAGAATTATTCTAATGCTGTTGGCCGCAGCTGGCCTTTACAGCTACCAAACGAGGGACGAGTGCAAATAGCACTCCAAACTGCGGAAGGACTTATGGAGCGGCTGAAGACCAACTCCCGCCTGACGGATACGACTTTAGTCTGAGGACGCCGCTAGGTGCTCGAACCTCAACACAGAACGTCATTTGGATTTCCGTTTGAACTGAACGGGGAATCGATCGGAGAGGTGTTTGTGTGTATTTGCGCGTGTACGACAATGTGCGGTGGGTGTCTGTTGTGGTGAAGCAGGTGATATCGTACGACTCATCGCGGGGCGGCGTGTCCGTGGTGACGGAGAAGGGCGCGGCCACCACCTCGTACCTGCTGGTGCAGGACGCGGCGCCAGCAGACTCCGGCCGCTACTCCTGCTCGCCTTCCAATGCGGAGGTCGCCTCCGTGCGCGTCCACGTGCTCAATGGTAACTACCACCATTATTGTTATGACCTCTTTATGTTACTTCTTTTTTTATACTACGACGGTGGCAAAGAAAGGTACAGCCCATCTGATGGTAAATGGTTACAGTAGCTAAGACAGATTACCGTAGTAGAAACAAAAGGGGTGTCACCAGGGTGTTGCCGACTCTTAATATACCCTTCTTGAAAATCCCAACGCTGTAATCTCGCGAGAGAACCTCGGCAGGTAGTTCATTCCACAATGCAAGTATGAAACTCCTCTGAAACCTTACTGTCTGAGGCTACTTAGGTCCCAGCGTGTGGATTGTTTTTATATCAGTGATATTAGATTCCGGCTGTTGTACTTTTTACCAGTCTAGAACCCATGACCCAAGCTCTGTTTACCTTGGGGATTAGATGGCGCATGTGTGAAATGTCCAGGGTTATTTATTTGTATGGCGTGTGCAGGGGAGCGGCCGGCGGCGATGCAGACGGGCTCGGCGGGGCTGTCCAACAGCTCGCGCTGCATCCTGGCGCTGCTGGTGGCGTGCGCGCTGCACGCGCGGCTGCTGCGCGCGCAGCTCGCCAGCTGATCGCGCCCCTCGCCCCGTGCCCCGCGCCACCCCGCGCGATAGTCGCACCCCGCGCCCCGCACCCCGCGCCCCGCGGCTCAAGTGTTCTAACGTACTTTGAGTGTGAGCGACTCCACGCCATGTGCATAGTGAATTATTTCAATAAATGTTATGAAGTCTCTCGTCTAAATAATATTAAGCGAAAACTTAGTTTTCCGATAGGTAAATGAGATTTAATTAAAGCGGTTATTGTATTTAAGATTTTTATGATGAGCGAATATGTGACGTCAAATCACTGTGATGAATGTTGATGAACTATGTCCCGCCGTGACCCCGCCCCTGGGGGGCGACTGGGGCTGGGATCGGCCCATGGGCACCGTGTGTCTTAAAATATATTGTACCTCAATGTTTATCCCCTACTAATTACTCCGAGGACATTTTACTACATTGTAATGGTGATCATGAACCCTTACTATAAGAGATGATGACCCGAGTGAACTATACACGTACGTATAACATTAACACCTCACAACTATTGTGTGTGTGTGTGTGTTCAGGCCAAGTACAGACCTATTAGTTGTGTTACTTGAATCTTCCCCCCCGATCGATCCCCCGTACAATTCAAACGGGGATCGAAATCACGACGACCTGAGCCGAGGTTCGACCCCTAGCGGTGCCCTCAGACTAAGTCGTATCCGTCAAGCAGGAGTTGGCCTTCAGCCGCTCCATAAGTCCTTCCTTGGTTTGGAGTGCCATCTGCACTCGCCCCCTAACGTCCGGTGAAGCTGTAAAGGCCAGCTGCGGTCAACAGCATTAAAGTAGTCAGAAAAAAATGCACTTGAATCGTAGTCAAATAATTAGTTTCAAACATTCAAATTTTACGTTTCAGCCAACAGCTCTACTTACACACTTCAGTTATTTTTAGGAGGAGTGTGTGTGAATTACGTTGTAGGTTTTTTTTTTTTATAACACAGGGGACAAACGAGCATGCGGCTCACCTGATGGTAAGTGATTACCGCCCCCCATGTGCACCCGCAACACCAGGGGAATTGCAAGTACGTTGTCGGCCTTTTAAAAAGGAATAAGCTCTTTTCTTGAAGGTTTCAATATCGTATCGGTTCGGAAATACCATTGCTGGAAGGTGATTCCACAATGTGGTTGTGCGTGGCAAACAGAAAACCGTTCAAGACCGCCATTCATTGATCAGGATGGTATTTCAGTTTCTGACGGGTGGTACGGTGGTGAAACTCAGCAGCTGGTATTAATCCGAACAATTCCTCAGAACACTCCCCGTGACATATGCGGTAGAAAATGCACAGAGATGCAACATCTCGCCGCAAAGCCAATGGGTCGAGTCTGTCACATAGACGTTGATTACCAATGATTCTGGCTGCTCGGTTCTGAATGCGGTCAAATGGAAGTAGTTGGTATTGTGGTGCTCCGGCCCAGAGATGAGAACAGTATTCCATATGCGGCCGGATCTGCGCCTTGTATATATGAAATACCGTCTCACTCTACTGAGCACACCAAGCTTTTTTGAGGCTATTTTAGCCTTGTCCTCCAAATGACCGCAAAACTGAACGTCACTGGATATATCAACGCCAAGGACCTCGAGATTATTAGGTATTTTTCTGTATGCCTTCTATCTCTATTCTGAACGCAGTTTGTAAACACTTCAGTTATTTTTGAACATAGTATGTCCACATATTTAAAATTCCAAAATGTTCCATGTCTCCCCCAACCTAAGTTCGATAGCAATATTTCAATAGATTTTTATTTCGTAAATATTTACGTTCTGCTCTACACGACTTACTCTTTTATTACAGTAAATATGAAAGTATTTTTTCGTTATTTTGAAAGTTCATTATAAGTCCAATGAACTGCATATTTTTTTAAATTTTGACCTATTATGGGCTGTTCATACTAATCAACTAAAGATAGGTCCCTTTTTTTTAGTGAAAATCGAATTTTACAGTTAAGTGATTGTATAAAAATAAAATGCTTTAAATAAAAATAAATCACACATTAATTTTGACAGATTAAATAAATTACTTTTTTTTTTCTTTTTTCTTAATACTGGCACATAACAATTACAAGAGAGGTTGTATAGGTATTAATTAAACAGTGATATTAAAAACAAAGTTGTTTAAATAAAAATTTGACTATGTGAAACGAAGATGAAATTTTGTCCACTTTTAAGAAAAGGGTTGACAAAATGTCATCGAGTTCAAATGTTCATTTTGACCATGTTTTGTACGGAACAGCTGCAGCTAGTACGGCCGTCAATATAGTCAGCCGGACCTTGTTAACAATATATGTAATACTTTATAGGATACAAATTTTTTATACTTGAATATCTACTGTCTTAGCCTGGTCACATAATCTTATATATAAAATTCTCGTGTCACACGTTAGTTACCATATTCCTCTGAAATGGCTTGACCCATTTTTATGAAATTTTATATGCATATTCAGTAGGTCTGAGAATCGGCTACTATCTATTTTTCATACCCCTAAGTGATAAGGGTAGTCCACCTCTAACATACTTTTTTATTTTTTGGACGAAATTTTTTATTTTTTTATTATGATCATTAAAAAATACATACAACCCTGAATTTTTACCCTGCTATCACCAACCCCTATTTTTTTATAGCGTTATTAATTTATATGGCAAAAACGTTTGCCGGGACAGCTAGTATACATATATATGTATATCATGTGTGCTAGACGGCTATATGCCGACGACCTCGGTGGTCTAGCGGTCTAGCACACCGCTGTACGTCCGATGGTCGCGGGTTCGATTCCTCGCACGGCACAAACATTTTTATTCATAAGTATGATTGTTTGTATCGGTCTGGGTGTTTTCCATGTATAATATGTATGTATTTACGAAAAAAGAAATAAACTATGTATTTGTATCAGTTATCTAGTACCCATAACACAAGCTTTAGCTAGCTTAACTTGGGTCTAGATGGCGCTGTGTGAATTGTCCTGAGATTATTATATTATTATATATGTAATTGTTTGTATTGTAAATAAATATGATAATTTCCAAACAGAATTAGGACAGAGTTATAATTTTACAATAGTAATGGACAATTTACGTTGTTACTCTCTTTGGAGACTGTACATACATATGGAATATGAATGTTGTAATGCAAGTTATAGATTTATATTTTAATGTAACATACATACGGATAATGTTAGATATATATAATAGTATATTGGGGTGACAATGCCACCGGCCGCTGTTAGTGGCATACTAGTAGGTTTTATTATAGTTTGTAATTAAATAATCCGCCAATACTGCACTGCACAGTTACTGCCTGTACATGTGTGAGGCGTCCGCTGGTATCTGTGCAAAATCTGTCACCAAAAACAATGGCTGTATGTCCTTAGAATTAAAATATAACTGGTAATCCAAGATGGCTGTCAAAAAGTCCTCAATCTATACATATAAATAAAATTGGAGTGTCTGTTTGTAATATTGAAATAATCGTTTTTTACTACATGCATATGAATATAAAGACGGTACAAAATTACATTTTTTACAATTTTTGTCTGTCTATCTATTTGTTCCGACTAATCTCTGGAATTAGATCGATTTTGACGGGACTTTTTTTGACAGGTAGCTTACGTAATAAGGAGTAACTTCGGCTACTTTTATTTTAGAAAAACCAGTAAAATTCCAAGCGAACGAAGTCGCGGGAACAGCTAGTATAATAATAAAATACAAAATTATTTAATTGAAACTATCCTTAGACGAAAATATGTTCATAGCAAAATTTTTAGTTTAACATATACATATATATATGATACAATATAATAATAAATTATGTTTTATAGCATTTTAGTTTATATGATAGGTAATTAAATTGTTTACATATGTACAAATGAATATCATACCTCACTAGAGACAATTAAAATTTGTATTTAATATAACTTTAACTTTAATTATTGTTTGTAATCACTTCATTAATACATGAATTGTTTTATATAAATAATTATGTAATAAATTAAATATTTTTAACACTGTGTTAGATTTCCTTCACGATTGTTTACAATTTTGCATTATATAACGAGATTTCTATACATATAAATAAAATTCGAGTGTCTGTTTGTAATATTGAAATAACCAAAATCTAATACCAATATACACCAAAATAATTTTTTTTACAATTTTTTCTGTCTGTCTGACTGTCTATTTGTTCCGGCTAATCTTTGGAATAGGTGGACCGATTTCGACGGGACTTTTATTGGCAGATACCTGACATAATAAGTAGTAACTTAGGCTAATTTTACTTTAGAAAAATTCTCTAATTAACTTTTTGTTAAACTCCACGCGGACGAAGTCGCGTGTACGGCTAGTTCACAATAAAAAATGATAAGTACACCGTTATATGTGCAAAATTGAATATTTTATATACAAACATATATTTATAATACTTATATATAATTTTATACCATCAAAAGCAAAATACTGTATCTATTATATAGAATATTGTCGTTAATATGAAAAATGCATCGCCATTAATATATTAAAATAGTGGCTAAAACAACCATTCTTTTATGTAACTCGATGACACACCTATTTAGGGCCAACCTAATAGTTGTGGAATGAACCTCCTGCCGAGGGTTTCTCACGAGACTACAGCATGGGGCATTTCAGGAAGGGTATATTAAGGTTTCTTCGTCCATAGGCTACGGTAACCATTTACCATCAGATGGGCCGTACGCTTGTTTGCCACAATAGTAGTATAAAAAAATGGTAAGTGGCAACTGTCGTCCTATAGATAACGCCCTGGATGACTGCTGATGATGTTTTGCCATTCTGGTGGACTTAGAACTTCACATATTGCCATATCTCACCTTTCAACAGAAATCATAGTAAACCTAACTCGAGCACAGGAAGCTCGAAGCTCTTATTCGATTATATATATCTCGATATATATTATCAAATCGATAGTTCTTGCTGAGTAAAACATACTGCCATACTTTATCCTTCAGCATAAACCATTGTA